AACCATTACTCCTTATACATTACAATACAGCACCAAAAACATATTTATAATTTGCTTTCGTTGAAAATAATACAATATACTTCTTTCCCGGAAGCAGCTGTTTGTCGTCTAGAAAAATGTAAACAATCACTGCTTATATTCTGCATTCTATTTATTACAGAACTCTAAAAATAAAAATCGCTGCTAATCTTTTTTTTTCCACTTTTGTAGATTTACGTGGTTTTATTGTAGTCATCGCGCCTGTATTTTTTTCCGTTGCAGGAGAATAATGTATGCCGGAATATGGTGCTAAAAAACCGGAGCGGGCAATAAAATATGAATTTACTTTGAGATGTGGCTCTTAATAAAAACACGCTCCCGTAATATCGCCCCTTTCCCGATGAAGAATAGCTAGAGTCATTAAAATATTTTAGCGGTCATTATTATGACACCCGAATAGTGATCTTCACTCTCACTTTAACTGCGGTACGAAACTACAAAGGATAAATGTTGTTTGCCCAATAATTGAAACGAGAATCAAACAATGAGATTGAAGCTATAGACGACTAGTAATTGAATACTCCTTACTCGCTGCTCATTACAACCAAACTTCGGCAGAGTGAAAGCTCCGCGTTACATTACAAGCAGCCGCTATAACCTGCGCATCTCTAGCGCTCCTTCAAAAGAAAAAAAAAAAAAGAATTACCCGAAGCATGTATGTATACACAAGCGTTTGTGGCCATCTGTGACACATTGTAATGTCACGCTTTGCATTAAAAAAACAAACGAAACGCTCAAGAAGACGGAGGTGTGCAAATCTGTGTGTGTGTGTGTGTATACAGTCGGCGACAGGACTATATCATGTTCACGTTTCCTGCTTCGTTATTTGCTGTTCTTGTCGGCTGATGGCGCAATGCGATTGACTGCGAAGCTAAATCATGAGATGCTTGAATACGTCACGTTCTGCATTTCTAAAGGTGTCTATGGCAACTCAGTAAAACAACGTGCCATAATATGTTTGCATACGAAATGCGTTTCGCCGCTTTCAATATTTCGTTTGTGCCCGCCACCCTCTCGATTTAGTACGAAGTCCCGCTCTGCGCTAAATTATTGAAACATAATCATTTCATTCGATTTTCTCGGTCCAAGAGCTCCGAATAATGGTAAAGAATAAAGATTTTAGCAGATATATGCCTTTTTTATAATGGCCTAGCTCTTGGATCACAATCAGAAACTTTATATGATACTTTAAGATATTCTTAATTAATTTAGGTTCCAAAACAAAATTGCTAGAAATACGAGAACTCAAGTAACTCTGTAAAACAAATTAGAGTGTAATGTAACGAGCTAAACCACGGTGCACCTTTTGCAAAGTGCTAAAGCTTTAATAGTCTCGTGAAAATAAAAAAAAGGGATATCTATCTATATTTTATTTGTATTCAAATAAATAACTTCAAATATGAAGTTTCGTTTAACTTTTCTTTTTCACTCAATTCATCGCTGCAATCAAAAACGCGCGCTTGTGAAAAAAAAAGGAACAATTTTGAATAGATGTTTGCCAGCAGCCGGATTTCGAGAGCTATAGTCTGACCACCGTGGATGGAAAACGGTTTGTTTGAGCGCCATTCTAGAAACAGTGGGCACTCCTCAGCAATGCTTGACTATCAGACGATTTACCCACGCCAGCAGCAAGATGGCGGCGCCCTAAGGCCGTACTTGCAAACGTCTGTAGATTTACTTGAGTACTTGACACCAAAAAGTAGCGTTCAGTTTCAAACAACTTTTTTTTTATATCGCAGGACGTCTCAATTAATTTTTGTCGAAACCAAAAAATACGCCTTGTAGATTTACTAATACCCGTGCCACACGGGCAACTCGAATGCCATTTATAACGAATGACATTTGAGCGGACGGCCAATCAGCGCGCGGCACTCCGGGCGTGACGCATTCCACGCGCGACAGATTGCGAGCTGATTCGCCGATCACATAAATGTCATTCGTTGTAAATGGAATTCGAGTTGCCCGTGTGGCTTGGGTATCAATCAGGCTTTTCAAACCGATCTAAATTTGGTGGTCTCAAATTAGGACCTGCAAAATCCTCCAAACGACGAGCGCAACAAAACAAAATTATGTACGACAGTTGAATCCTTGTGGGCTTCTGGTTGCGATGGTTCCGATCTATAAAGGCTGTGATATGTGTTTGCGGTAATTTTTGTCCCCGCGGCGCTCTCTCTCCTGACTTGCCTACTTGAAAGCAGTCATGAAAGCTGTCTGAAAGTACGTAGCCTCGATATCGAGCATCATTTTGAACACGGCTACACCTCGTGCAAGCCATTCATTCAAAGGTAGAGTTTACTTCACGACTAATTAATGCAAAATGCGTTTTAGGGATCGTTTCTAAATCTAAAACGTAAGACAACTTTTTAAAGAAAACGTGATGACAAAGTCACGGCATCTAAATTTAGTGCCATATATCCCCGCTAAATTCAGTATCAAACTTTGAAGGAGGTAGGTTCTGTCTGAACGTCCACCAAGTTCATAGAAAGTTCATGACACGGTAAAAGCAGGTAATTTACATTTTGCGGCAAAACCTCCAGGTACGCCTGTGTTGCGTGACATCACAATCCACCGTGAGGTCACATGACGCTTTGTCATGTTACCTGACTTCAGGAAGCACGAAGACGTGACACACTGGGGTCACGGTGAACCACTAAGTGCATCTTGACTTCGCGTGACCAGACGTCGCGTCACGTGGTCGCGTGTTTACTTGACCCCGTGGCATTGAGTAGAATCAATTACGCTACTCATAGTGGCACCAATCCAAAATGCCGAGCGTGCAAAACAGACGGAACGGTTCCGAACAGATCGAAACAGCTTGACACGCACACACTCCACGCATTGTGCTTCCATCGGGTCTGTGCGTGAGGGCGAGCGAAAGTGTTGAACTCAGAAAGCGTACTTTCTCCTTAACCCCCCTCGGACATCATCCACGAACACCGTCCATAATCGTATCATCGAGGTACCGATCTGGTGGCTCTGACTGTTGGTGTCATGAGTGTCCGAGGGCATGCACAAGTGTGTCGCACGTTCATCACCCACAACACTGAAGCCGCGAACACACTGCTCATGCATCATCCAAAAGACAGTCTTGCAGACAATGTTCACGCAAATACCGTTTGCGGTCAAGTTTAAGGCACACACACGGCAAGTACGCCTGAGGCCTGTCCGGGGATAAGTCTGCCACATGCCCGCAGAGAAACTCCGTGCCTCTTGTACGATGTGTGAACAGCGTGACCACAGCTGAAGAAGCTCTAGCGCCGACGTACGAAATTCCGCGCATGAAAGTATGAATATACGTGCTTCTGTAACAGTCGCTCGAGTTTTCGTCAAACATTTCTGTCCGAAACCTTCAGAAACACCATTTTTCTGCGTAGAATAATGTTTTCCAGTAAACAACGCCAGGGAGTAAATGACGCCTACACGAGGCACACCAGGGGAGCCAAATCCAAAGTTAAATGCCTCACCATACGTGTGTGACCTTCTCGTTTGCCCATATGGCCGCTGTTAGGCTATACGGACCGCAAGTTCGTCTGCTTCTTTTGCGGGGGTCGTGGTGACGTCAGAAAGACGCCGATCTCTGATTGGCTGTTATCGAAGGATAGTGGGTAGACCTCAGTCCAGCTTGCTTCGACGTCTACCCACTATACTTCGATAACAGCCAATCAGAGCTCGGCATCTTTCTGACGTAACTACAACCCCTGGAAAAGAAGCAGACGGACTAGCGGTTCGAATAGAGATACGTCGTTCAAGAGAGATGGCATTCACTGCAAACGTAAAGACAAAGTTAAAAAAACAAAAACATCAAACAGTATTTGCAGACTATATCTTGCATAACGTATTATAATATAGAAGTATGACCGCTGTTTATGGGGGAAAAGCAGGTACCACTGCCAAATGAGATTATATGGCCCGGAAAGCAGGTTTCGAAAGCGCGATGCAAAGTCTTTCGAAGTTCATTTGAGTGGTTTAAAGAAAGTCTTTGCGCGTCGTTCTGTAAAACGCGCGTGATCAACTCCGAGCTGGACTCAGCAGGGCACGCGCGTGGATCTGCGTACGTGGCGAGAACTGCCCAGGGGGCGAGTTCTCCGAGTCTTAGACGAGATAAAATACCTACACAGCGATAGCCTCGTGTCGGCGACCACTCCTCGCTGACGAATACTTTTTGAGAATATTTTTATTTTTGCGGTTTTCGGTCGATAGATCTTTTTTGTTTGTCTGGGCTTTTAAAACTCAATTCACCCTTTGCGTCCATAAGTCACCATTTCACGATTTACAAGAACGTCTATTATGAGAAGAAAAAAAAAGTTCTGGCGTATTCTCAGTGAAGGGGCTGAAAACCGTTTTGAAAACAGTTAAAAAATTACCTACTAACTACACTTGGAAGATGCAGGTTCTCTGACGCTGTCTACGATTTCTAAAGTGGAGTTCTTCACGTTTTTCAGAACAGTCCTAAAGTTCTCCAACCGAGATCTTCACGCATCTGCTGAACGCCAGATCAGTACAACTACTTCTAAAATCGAGGTAGTGTTCAATATCTGCCAAAACTGCCAAAAAAAATTGGTTGAAGACAAAATAATTTTTTCGTCATCGCGTATTCATGCCGTCTATATCATACCCGCAAAGCAAAAAGAAAAAAAAAATCATGCGCCAAATACGCCTTAAATTCGAAATTAATTTGTTGACAGTCCAAAGGGAACAGACTTTCCCAGGGCGCCCAGGGTTGGAATTCTCAAGAACCATGTTGCGTGAAACAGGTGGCATACCGACCCACCCCCGCCTCCCCCCCCCCCCCCCCCCCCCCCCCCTCCCGTTTTCGCAAAGAAAAAAAAAACTGGGGGAAAAAAGTGCAAGCTTTATAACCCCGAGGTCCCAATTTCCGAAAGAAAAACAAAATAAAAAAAATAATGGCAAAGAAAAAACAAAACGAGAAAGAGAGTGGCAGAAATGCTTGTTTCCCTCACCGGCGGCGCCGATTCCTCCAGATCGACCATGTCAGGTCTGCGTGAGTGCGGGTCGCTCACTCGGCACGAACAAAAAACGCACTCTGATTGCTGCCGCTCCGGGGGAGGGTTGACGTCGTCGTCACCGAAGGCTCAGCCCCCAGGCCGGACTCACTCGCTGGGCACGGGGGGAGGCCGACCACCGACTCGGAGTCGTCCCCGCTATCGCCGGTGTCTTCCTCGCCCTCACCCCCGCACACTGTCGACGTCAGCGCCGCCGCACGAGCAAACTCGAGCAGGCGAAAAAAAAAGAAGACCGCGTTGCAGCCGCGGCGAACGAACCACACAAACCTCCACACTGCGGAAGTGCTGAGGTCCTGTAGTCGGTTGTCTGAGTGGACGTGTCCGTGGACGTGAAAACGTTCTCTCAACAACTCGACTGTCTTTTTTCTTTCTTTTTTTTTTCTTTCTTAGAGATGACTGTTTTTAAAAGTACTTATACCACATTTGTTTACAGCAAGTACTGTATCTTGCAAATACTTGGGCGTTCATATTTCATCTAATGCGTCACGGGAAATTCGTATTCGATGCATAACAAGTAGTGCCGGTCGTAGAACGTAAGGATTTAGAAGACGGAACATTCGGACCGTTCTCGTATCTCTGAAGCTAGTCACGCTCTCCGTATATCGTACAAAATGCACGGCGCTTGCTTAGAAACGCGCCGCCAAATAGAGATCAGCAATCGCGCTTCCCGGGTCCCCTTCAGTCTTTCGAAGAAGGCGAACCGAGGCAAAATGCCTAACCCAAATTATTTTTGCCTTACTTTTTTTTTTTTTTTAAGGGGAGGTTGTGTGTGTGTGTGGGTGGGGGGGGGGGGGGGGGGGGGGTTAACAGCAGAAAGTTTAAAGCTGCGAGATGGTCCCTTGCACCCTTCTTCACCGCGGCGGTAGGTGCTCGTAGACTGTCGCGGCAGCGGCTCACAAGAGGGGGTGAGGGGGCTTGGGGGGGTCCTTCCAAGGAAGATGCGGGGACACAGCTGTGGACTCGACCGGGACGCGCGCTGAGCAAGGAAAAAAAGTGTGGCAGGCTTTTTTTTTCTCGTTTGTTTTAAGGAGGGAGTGTTTTGGGCGTCTCGCTCTCTAGATTGTCAGATGTTTGCTTGTTTGTTTTTCTTTTTCCTAAGGAGGGGGGGGGGGGGGGGGGCTAATGATGTTGTCACCCCTGTTCAAGTGAGGAGCGCTACTAAAGTATGGTTAGTGAGTGTTGTATAGCACCCCAGGACTTTCGTAGGTGCTACAGTCAGCCTGGCAAGACCCGAGCGTCATATTAGGAGTCCCAGTCAGATAGCGGCCTCAAGACGATTAGGACGCCGCAGAACTAATCCGTAGGAAGTAACGAGGAGATTATAAGCCCCTCCCTGCGTTGGATGGATGGATAGATGGACCGCACCCTTGATAACGGGCGGTAGCTCGCGCCACCTAGCCTAGATACCAAACGTACGTAGGCTAGGTGACGTTTTAAGCTGTCAGCGGTGTTGCCAGAAACGCGTTGGAACTACCGGCGTTACCTGTAACGCGTTAGCTTTTTTTCCATGACGTCGCAAAGTACTCGTTACGATTTTTAAAACGGTTAACAGATAACGTAGTTACGTTACTTATTCCGAGTAACAAGTAATTTCTCCAAGACAAAAAAAAAAAATTACACTTTATTTTTTTTTTTAAATGTTTTTAGGCGCCATGTCACATGAATGCTTGTACTCATCCCACATTTGGTTCATAAAGTGCATTCTCAAATTTTTGCCTCCTTTCACCAGGCAAACACTCCCGGTTTAGAAAAACCCTAACACCCTTTTCCCAACATCAGAAAAAGTTCTCGCCGTCAATGACAGGCAAGGTGGATGTACGGCATTCATAGATAACGTGCGTTACTTTTTATCGGTAAATGTCAGGCGTTCCTTTTATTTTTAAGCAACATAGGTCGTTAACGCGTTCCTTTAATTAGCAAGTAACGAGTAACGACGTTCGTTATTTTGTTTTTCTGCAAAGCTTGTAACACAGGCTGTCAGTGACGACAGTATGGATTGTTGCTGCCGTTGATGTTTTGCTTAGTTGTGTATACTGTTTTTGTGTGCACTGCATTATAGGACTTCGAATTATTGATTAGACGCTGGCTTTTCCCGAAATACAATATTCGTATATTTTTAACATTAATAGTCAGTTAACTGCCCCCTCCTCCTCCCCCGGTCACAAAGGAAAGTCAGAGGGGGGTCCTTTCAATTGCAGACCTTATGTACCTTGAATCATTGTCCAAAAATAGGTATACGACCTTTCAGCGGTACACCGTGTCGGAAAGAAACAAAATCGCAGTAAAAACCACAAGAAACGTCAAACAACAAAAGTAAACAAAAGAAGAAGGTTAATATACCAGCGTGGAGAGGAGAACATCAAATTCACTATCGAAATCCTCGTTCGCATACAAAAATATCGAGATTAAAATCGAAGCGAGTCTCGAAATTGCTTAGTCCCTTTCCTCTGCAGAAAGAAAACCAACTCCATAACAATAACATTTATTCATTTAATGCCGTCAACTATGACCCACAGAAAAAAAAACAAAAAAACTGTGATATACAGATTGACCTCTGCAAAACAGTTTGCGATGTGGCATTACGCAATGCAAGCATGACGCTTTGCCTCGCGTAATGCCACAGCGCGGGCTTTATTTTTAGGTCTAAACGGATGTTCCGCCTCATCATTCGCCGAGGTGATTTCGTAGATCACAGAAATTGGCTCTTTGAGTTTTTTTTTGGGGGGGGCAGGAATTTTTTAGAGTGTAGGCTCGTTCGATTTGCCGAAACCTCCTGCGCCGTCGCAGAAAAGTGCAGGGCGGTGTACTTCCGGTCGTATCTAAACAGACATACCGGAAGTGCATTAGCCTACACTTTTCTGAACCGGTGCAGGAGGCGCGGATAAATCGAACGAGCTGCGCAAGTTCGTCTGCTTCTTTTGCAGGGGGTTGCGGTGACGTCATAACGACGCGCTCTGATTGGAAGGAATAGTGGGTAGAACTAAAGCTGTGCTGCCTTTGACTCCACTGCACCCGTCAAAGGCGTCAGAACGCGGTACGCCGGCGTCCCGAGTTTGGCTCTCGCGTTCGAAAGGGTTCGTCGAGTCAAGAGGTGACAAGGCCTGCTAGCTTTTGATCTACCCACTAATCCGTCCAATCAGAGCGCGGAGTTCTGACGTCACAACGCGCTTTTGTTTCCTTCTCTCCCTTAGTTTCTCGGCGCATAAGAATGATAATCCGGACAGTTTAATATTACAGTGAAGTCGTCAAAGTGATTGACGGCCATTCGAGTCTTAATGCATTCTTCCGGCCTGAGATCTTCTGTATATTCCGCTTTAGTGTCATTTGAACGAAGGCGGAAACAAAAGCTCATGTGATGCAGTGAGGGTATATAAAAGCGAAGCATGCGACACCTTACTCCTGTCATTCACCCATTTAGTATACACCTTTCCAAAAAACGCTCCTAGGCCGCCGCCATGTTGCTGATGCTGATGCGGCTGGTGCGACTCTCGCGCCCTCTATCAACTAGAAATTTTCTGCCACTCTCTGGGACTGTGAAGACCCGCTCCGCGCGGTTCTCTACCTACGTTTTTGCGGTTTTGCATTCGACGTTTTCTCGCACCTCTTGAAAGTTTCCACTAAATTCTTTTTATGCGTGCTGCGTACCCTTTTTGTGTTATCTTCCATTGTGAGAAATAAGGCTGGTAAGTGCCTGCCATTCAAGCTTTTGTGCTCGACATTCACGGGAAACGAAGGAGGTGAAGGACGTCGAACGACCCTCGACGCGATTTTGCGAACATTGTTCTCCCCCCTCCCAGAGATAATCCGCCTAGAATCCTCAGTCATCTCCAAAAATAGTTGTCCGGGGTGGGGTGAGAAACGGGTCAGTCGCGTTTGTTTCTTTGCCTTGGTGCGGTCGTGAAAAAAGGAAGCTCTCCCCAAAACGTGCCCCAAAACGAAGTCACCTCGGATTCCTTCCGATCGTCAAAATGTGACTGTCGTCGACTGTGACTGTGTTATTTGAGATCTTTCTCAAATAAATTCTTTTTGGATAACGCTGCATCGTGTGGTACGTACGATATATTGTTCGGATGTTAACACTCTTCCTCAATTGTATGTCCGTGTCCTGTCCATCGGTAAACACGTTATTTGTGAGCGTGAAAAATGCATGCCTTTCGGCCGGTCTTCTGTTGCAATTTATTTTTGACAGCAAAGCGCTTTGTCGTTTCATATGCGGTGAATCTCGCGGCGCCGTCTAAACTTATCGTAAGAAAAAAAAAAAACTAGAACTCTACATTCTAGTCGCATTCGTTCTGTCGCGCGCGTACCCAACAAAAATAGTTTAAAGCTTTTTGTTTTCTTGCTTTTTTTGTTTTTTCAAATGTGGCACAGTGCTTTCTCAATGTCCTCGGGAACATACATGTACCATGAAAGACAAAATATAGCGGGAAAATACGAGAATTTAGCCGCCAGCAGCGTTTGAAAGGGCGCCTACGCAGGCTGCGCCTATTGAAATCACAGTCCACTCGGTTAGGGTTAGGAGGGACGCCGGTGAGAGTCTAGCCTCAAACTCAGTGACTGGGCTCGAAAACGGTTTGTTGCCCCTGGGGTCGAGCGTTTTTTGGAAAGGTGTATAGACCTTTCCAAAAAGAGCGCTCTGGCCGCCGCCATTTTGCGAATCGAGCGACCCCTATCAGCCAGAAATTTCTGGCACCCGCCTGAGCTGTGGAAACCCAGTCAGCGTGACTCCCCACCTGCATTTTGCATTCGGAGTTCGCCGGCTTTTCTTGGAAGTTTTTATTTTGTTCGCCTGTTTAGGATGCTTACCCTTTGTATGTTATCTTCCACTGTGAGAACCAGGGAATACCAGGGCTCGTAGCCCGCTCGGCCTTCGCAGGAAACGAGCGAAGAGAGCAAACGCCAAGCAGCCCGCGACGCAGGCAGTTCGACGTGCTTGGAGGATTATTTCCGTCGAGATAATCTCCAAAAAGCCTTCCAGGCTGTGTTCCGGGTCTTCGCAAAAACTAGCTGATAGGGTCGTACGGGGTGTGGCGACATAATAAGCACGTTCGTTCATTTGCTATTAAGCTGTGCAAAAAAGGAGCTCTCTTCTACATGTTTCCTAAAACACA